TATGCCTCCAACTCCTTTTATTGAACAGATACCTATGTTTTCCCTTTCGACTACAGTAGTTCTCACAAAACTTCTTCTTTTCCTTATAGTAAAACGTACACAAATTTGACTCGACATTGTGCAATCGAGTATTGAACCCTCTTAAATCATTGTAAGAATGGATGCATACCATTATAAGTCCTGGACAAAACTGTCAATTCCAACTCGATACCTGCCCTTATCAATGTCTTTGTCCAAGACTACAAAGCCGTGGTTGTCTTTCCATGCTAACTGACAAATCTCCTTGAACTTTTCAAATGACATGTCCGTATTAACATGATCATGATATATGTGTCGCAAGTTCATATCATCCTGTTTAAAAACAATGAGAAAATTACAATTGTCTCGAAAAAGTTGTTTAGAAATACTAGTATACGTCTGCCCCAAATAAAATGTGCCAATGTCTTTATGACGTCCCATCGTAAAATAGTTTCTAATGTAATTGTGTTTTTCACACGCAATGTCATCAAAAATCATGACTGAATCAGACTTTGCATCGCTTGATGGAGGAATCTTAGAATTTTCATCATATGCAAAATAGCCCACTTCCTTCGGTATTGTTTTGGCTAAAAACTTATACTTAGGTTGGTACAACGATTTCGGAAGTACGTACACATTTTTGTACCTCAATCCGTTTACATAAAAATAAGATTAAAAAGGACGTTTGTTTTGCCACAGTTTGATGGGCCAAATATAATACAACGTATTGTGCTTGGAAGAAGCGGACCGAGCCTTTTTTCTGTACTCATGCCTGTGCCAATGACAAACAAGTCGAAGTTTTCTATTGGAAGCTGTGATGAATGCTTTACAACACGCATCTTGTCATAGAGTGATGAGTTTTCCTCCTACATATTTATTTTATAGAGTCCGGACCCATGTGTCGTGTGTCTTATCAAAACCTAGCCAACGTACTAAAAGCATGTCACCCTTACGCCGAAGCACTTTTTCAACAAAGTACACATCACCTGTTTTGGATAAACTTATCTCATACTCATAGAAACCACCTTTCAGTACTTCCCCCTTATAGTCTTGCAAAATATATGTGACAGGTTTAGTCGGTTTAACAGCATAGATTTTAAAAACTTCATTTGTCCAGTTTGGTAGATAGCTCTTAGTGAAACCCTTTTGTTTTTACTTATCCTAACACTGTCTCCTACTTTGAACTTAGGTTTATACACTCCCAATTTAATCTTATTTATTTTATCCAATATTTGTCCCACGTGTTTTAGTTTTACATCTTTCGGTTTCATTCCTGTAGTGCGGTGTTACGTGTTGTTGTAAGCCTTAACAATATCAGGCAATATATATAGCCAGTCATGTGTTCCCTTTGCGGTGAATTGTTTCCACATTCGAGATTTTAGTGTCCTGTTAAGCCTTCAACTATACTAGCTTTTTGACCTGAATAGGTAGAATAATGATTAATATTGTACTTATTGATCAGCTTGGAAACATGTTTATTAAACCACTCTTTACCATCATCAGTTTGAAAATTTTTCATTTTATGCTTTGCTAGGATTGGTTCCAATGCTTTCACCACTTCCAGTCCAGTCTTGTGTTTCAACGGCACAGCAAGTGCAAATTTAGTAAAACAGTTTATCATGGTCATTATATAACGGTATCCTTTATTTAATTTTGCATATGGTTGCATCTCAACAAGATCTGCCTGATATAAGTCATGAATACCCTTAAGAGTAACTTTACGCCTAGTGTAATTTATCCGAGCAGGCTTATGAAGCTCTTCGGCTATAGCACGTTTGACATCCATTATTATACTAATAACATGTACAAAATAAAAGCTTTATATGAGTATGGATTGAGAATACTTGCACATGGTGTGTCCAGGTTAAGCATTACATGGCCAGTCCAGAGAAACTGGTAGTCACCTTGTAACACCCTCTCCTCTTTTATAAAGCTCAAAATCGTAAACGATACTTAATAAGAAGGAGCAGTTTGACACCACTATCTATGGCTTAGAGTGAATATTCACCCTCTGATAGGCTAAATAGACATCACGTCACACCACAATCTATGGCTTAGAGAGAATAGTCACCCTCTGGTCGGCTAAATAGACATCACATAACCACCATCTATGGCTTAGAGGGAATAGTCACCCTCTGTTTGGCGAAAGAGACATCATATGACACAGCTTACAGGGAATAGTCTCTCTGTGATAGGCTGGTAGAGGTCACATGACCACTATCATGATAATACATGGTTAGGTGAGAATCAAGTCACCCTCTGATTGTCTAAAGAGACATCACGTGACACCACCATCTTAAAAGGGGCGTGGCTTTTAGGTAATAGTCACCCCTTAATAGCTAAAGAGCCATCACATGACCATCTATAGTTTAGAGGGAATAGTCACCCTCTGATTGGTTAAAGAGACATCTAATGACACCACCTTCTTGAAAGGGGCGTGGCTTTTAGGTAATAGTCACCCCTTATAGGCTAAAGAGTCATCACGTGACCATCTATAGCTTAGAGGGAATAGTAACCCTCTGATTGGCTAAAGAGTCATCACGTGACATCACCATCATGAAAGAGGCGTGTCTTTTAAGTAATAGTCACCCCTTATAGGCTAAAGAGTCATCACGTGACCATCTATAGCTTAGAGGGAATATTCACCCTCTGATTGGCTAAAGAGTCTTCACGTGACATCACCATCTTGAAAGAGGCGTGGCTTTTAGGTAATAGTCAACTCTTATTGGCTCGTGACACCACCATCTATGGCTAACACACCCGCTCCACATGCTGGAGACCCGGGTTCGATTCCCGACTACGCCTAAAACCTTGTTATCACACTCTTAACCTCCAAGGTCACACCTAATTAGGCAACAAGCATATCTTGACCCCAAGGTCATGATAACAAGCATATCTTCACCCCAAGGTCACGATAACAAGCTTATCTTGACCCCAAGGTCAATGACCAAGTTCAAGGTCAAATTTGGTATATCCTCTCATGGGGTCTACTAGTTAGTTTTAGAGACTAGATCGAGGTGTACGTCAGGATTGTAGTGCCGGTCGTTTCGAGTTGAAAGGAGGAGTTACAAGATTAATAAAGGCAAGTTTGTGTTTATTGTAATTTTGGTGTGTCCATGACCGTACGTAGTCATTTGATGAAGTAGTCATGGTGTTAATTTTTTTTATAAGATATTTCAATTGCTAGATTAACCTAGAAGTCCACTTTGTATCCTCGAACATGAGGTGCAGGGCTACCACCAGAACAGAGCCAAATAACACGTAATGTCAAGACCAAAGTTTCACGACCATCGCAGGTTTTTTTCATGACCAATCCAGCCTTATGGATTATACTGTGTTTGGTCGTGACAATAACTTAAATATAATCGTAAATTGAACAGTTTAGTTCAATTGAAACACATATTTGTATTATAACTAACAGTATAATTGAAGGATTGCTTACAAAGATTTAGATTATTCCAGACAATTTACGACCGTACCGCTTGTCTCTGACCATCACGTTTATGATTTCTATCATATAAATTTAAAAAATTATAATATCATCATATTTCAATGTTTTATACACAAAAGAAGCACACCTCTATAAAAAACATAACGATTTTTCGGGTCTCAGGTAAGTTTTTTTCGGAATTATACAAACTTAAAAAGATTTTATTTCCTTTTTAAATTTTTTGAGTTTTTTGTATTTTTTTCTAAAAAGACCAAATATACCAAAAGCTTAGTGAGCTGTTTATTGTATAATGGCCCTGAAAGTAAATTAATTTATAGCAAAACATAGTTATAAAAATAGTATTAACTATTTTTAATATTCAGTTTTATGTCCGTGATGGTCGTGACAAAATTTCATGTTTTTCCATCAAAGATGCTCTATTTATAAAAAAAATCACCAAAGATATTGCGTTACCATGGACATTTTATGAAACTTCAAATGTTAATGAAATAAAAAAATAATAACAGTTTCAAAAAACGGAACAAAAAATGTTTAAAGTGCTTTTCCTGAAAACGTACGTTTCAAAATTTTTACTCACTTACAGGGTTCATTCAATAAATATCGAGACGTGTTCACTTTAGCCTAAAAATATTAGTGGGGATGGCTCCGACGTGTTGGATTTTATAGAGGGGTCCTTCACCAATCACCATTCATAAGCACTTTGGTTTAGTCGCCTACGGGCATTCGTTGAGACAGGAGGTCAATTTGCGCGTCAGAGACCCTTGCCCTCAACTCAAACATTTTGTTTCTGGATCATACTGGAACACTCTGGTAATAACGTTGTCCAGAAAATTTGGATCTTCCTGGACGCAGTACAAGATTTTTTGCAAAATTTCCATCCTTGACAGTTTTTGTTCGATAGTGACATTCTCCTTTACTACTGTTCCCACTGAAAGGTCTATTTTCTCACTGGTGTGGGCGATGGTTAGACGCCTGTCAGAACCCAAAACTTCTTTTAATTCGACCACATGAGCCTTGATTCTAGTGGTTGTCAGGCACCTGATGCAGTGCTCATGAGTTCCTGGCGTTCCGTAACATTTGGTTTCACTCAAAAACTCTTAAGCGTTTCAAAGCATCATCCCCATAAGCCTCTTTAATGAAGGCAAGAGTCTCCGACGCAGATTTTCCGAGTTTAAAGCAAAACTTCACAGTGTTGCTCGACGGTACGCTCCATGTTGGCATGACGACACAATGAAAAAGTGTGATATTATTTGTTTATAACTTATATTTGTTTACACATTTGTTATTTCCATGACAATAATATCCTCAGCGCAAAATATCAAACTCCTGTCCCAATGAATGCCCGTAGGCAACCAAATCAAAAGTGCTCCTGAATGATGACTGATGACGGACCCCTCTATCGAGCCCAACCGGTCGGAGCTCTCTCCACTGCTCTTTTCAGACTAGAGTGAACCAGTCACGATACTTATTGAATGGAGGATGTATTTCTATTTCCTAAAATAAACAGTTCGATAATCATTGGTTATTTCAGAGTAAGTACCAGCTGGCTATCCAAGCAGAAGGCATGATTGGTGACATGGTGCGCTACTTGTCCAGCCCCAACATAGAGCTCAAGAAACACTGTGCTTCTGCAATATTTAAGGTATAAGATTTACTGATATTTTCAAAAATAAAAAATAAAACTATTGCTAATTTATTTATTTTAAATATTATTTTAAATTAGACTTACAGGTAAGTCTAATAAATTTGACTTATAGGTAAGTCTGATCTATAAGTCAAAAAGTGATAGGGGGAGCGAGCTGGTCTAGTGGTTAGAGTGCGGGACTTCGGTCCAAGAGATCCCGGGGTTCAAATCCTGCCAAATCACCAATGGGCTTTATCTAAGTGATAATGCCGCAACCCCTAGGTCTAGCCTGAAGTAATGTGAAAAAAATCCCAGGCTCGTGCCTAGCGTCCGAGGACAAAAAAATCTATATCTATAAAAGGCAAAGCCCTCACCGACTCACTCAATTCTCCTACCCATTCCCTTTTACTTAGGAGACTGAAATTTGGCACACTGATTCTTTAGGCATTAAATAGGAAAACTAAGTAGGCCTGGTTGTTATTCTGATATTCTGATCTGACTTTCTGGCTCCGCCCCAGTGGCTCTGAAGTTTTCTATGTTAACCTTATGAGTTTTAGTATTTAATGCGAATTAATGAATCTTAACTGTTGTTAATTAAACAATTTAGTTTGATGATGTTCAATAGCATTATTAAGTTACAAGGTTTACAATTAGGTGGCAACACTATTAATTTTTTGTTTGAATTTATGACAACAGCTAATTTGAACTAAGCAGTGGCATCAAACAGCTCTGATATTCAAGGGTATGGCGGCTAATTTAGTTTTCTAATAAATACTTATGATGTCAAATGGGACAAATCCCGTGGGTAACAAGCCTTTTCACTTATAATATAGAATATTCTAGTTGTACTTCAAAACTACGTCTCAAAAGACCAGAATGCTGCCTTAACTGGTAGACAGCAGAATGAACAATAACCATTATTGTGCTTTATAACAAGATAAAATTTGTTTTGAAGGTAGATTGTAAAAAAATATATTATTTGAATTACACTTTCCATATTAGCATAGCCTCCTCTAATGCAAGGGGCGTCGCAAGACAAAAGTGGCAATGCCGCAGACCCGGCCTACCGAAACAGCTGTTGCACTGATTCATATAATGGAGCATCTGCGTAATGTAGGCTATATGTTTACACATTTGTTATTTCCATGACAATAAGCCGGCCGGTACAACGTTGCCACGCACCAACGCCATGCCCGTGCCGTGAATTAGAGGAGGCTATAATATTAAGTGTTCAGCTCTAGATCCTTACACCACTTGCAACATCCAACCATCTTCCTCATCATCCACTACATGAACTGCAAGAAATGTTTGCTCCACACGTTGCCAATGTGGAATAAGTTACTGTGGCATTATGGGATTGTTCAACAAACTTTTTCAGTAGTTATTGTCATTATTTTCATTTCAGTAGTTTAAAATGTGTTATCGTTGCTGTACTAATGTGATAGTGTGCCGAGGACAGTGTCACTAGAGACATGGTGAGGCAGCATGGAGGCCTGGACCCACTAGTAGCCATCATCAAAGACGAGGAAGTCCACCTCAACAAGCCGCTCCTAGCTGCAGCCACAGGGGCTATCTGGAAGTGTGCCATCAGTATTGAGAATGTGCGACGACTGGACGATCTCAACACCGTCAACATCTTGGTTAACCTGCTCGGTGATGAGGATGAAGAGGTACCCAAATGTGGCATGAGATTTATTTTACATAAATCACCGTTGAATCAGCTGTTTGTTTGTGGTATATGACCTTACATGCATAAACATAAATTCAGGAAATACAGAACTTAACATAGACATATAGCAGCAGACACATTATCGTGTTTAAACATTGAAACAGAGAAAATATTGAGTATTTTATCATAACGTAAATATAGGAATAAGGTCGAGTATTGTGTAATTGAGTAAAATGAACTTAACTGTCAAATGTGCTCAGTTAATGAATGAAATGAGCTTTGTAACTTTTTAAGACCTGCATTATTTATTTAGCCAGGATCAAAAAGCTTAATGTTCGAGGACAGCTGGGTCTAGTTTTGAACCATCTAAAAACCACTGACTTTTTCATTATTGAATCATCAACGACCCTCTAGTCATGGATTGTTTGCTAAAATTTATAAAATTAGAACAATCACTACACAGGGCAATTCGAAAAGAAGTACCGGTATCCAACTTTTTAAACCTATAAAATAAATAATAGCTGCACTGCTTATATCAGTGTGGTTGGTAATAGTGGACAGCAAAAACGACTCAAAATGTTTAGTTTGAGACACAATTGTCGTTAACAATGTAATTGGCAAAGTACAAGAACAAGTAAGTGGCAGTTCAGTGTGTCTTAAGAAAAGGGTAACTGATTTTTTTTTACAATCTTGTTATGTGCTCAAGATTGAAAACGCTCGATCAGCTATTATTGTTCAACGTTGATTTAGCATCCATTACAGTAAAGATCATCCAGATAGAAAGTCTATCCACGAGTGGCATAGAGAGTTCATCAGACATATGTAGCTTTAACAAAGGAACTGCTATTGGGGCCCTTCATTATAATGTTCAGGTTTAGTTAACTTATATTGTGAACAATTTCCAACTGTTGTACTAAATCCAAAGAACTTAGCAAGGAAGGTAAGTTTGGAGCTTGAAATTACATAACCCATGTTTTGTGGAAACCGTTGAAACCTTCAATGTTTCCATACAAGCTATTGGCACTGTAATGTTAGAGAATATGTTGTGGAGAATATCCCAACATGTAGCATTGTCCGTGCAGCTCAACAACCCAATGATGTGATGGCCTCGGCATTGACCAGATTCCTATCATTGTTGTGTAATTATGTGAAAAAGAACGTGTTTGTTCTATACCTCTCTCATCAAAACCCTTGCAGTTAAGAGAAAGTAATTTCCCTGCAATTGAATGTAATAATCAGTCCATATTCAGAGAGTTTGGTTAGAACTCAAATATATGATTTAGTTTACTATGTGAATTGAGGTGCACATTTGTACATTTTTGATATAGGTATAGAGAACAAATTGAGCCTATATATTAAGTACTTTCTGAAAATGTAAATTCCACTATCCCTTCTATCAAAACATAACTGTACAGTATTAGGCAACAAACTTGTTTATTTCTTGTTCAATCACCCTTTACTTAAAAATTAATTATCAAACTTTGAACTGTACATTTAAAACGACCATTCCTTATTAATTTTCCCAATAACTGTATCAATGGCTTCAATTTGAAAAAAATCAAATATCTATAAGTTTTAAGCCAATTAAACTATCACTGAGTTAGAAAGAATGTAATGGTGTTCATAGTAAACTTTCAGTAGGTGTGTGTGTGAAGTGTGTGTGTTTGTAGGTACTGACCAACATTGTAGGAGCCCTAGCACAGTGTGCCAAGCTTAGTCACAACAGGGAGACTATCCGCACAGCTGGTGGCATTCAACCACTGGTGCTGCTGTTGAACCTTGCTAACCAGGTACAGTAGTACACACACTACTTAGTACTACTTATATTGTATACAGCAATAATTGGAACAAATATAGGCCTACAGGGTGTTTCAAAACTATCGAAACTCTGTGGGCATGTTCCTTAGGTCAAAACAAACCATTAGTATCATGTTACAAACATATGCCCTATCTCACTTAGTTTTCCTAAAGTTTACCTAAAGGAACATGACCATGGAGTTTCGGTAGAGAGTTTCAAAACGCCCTGTATAAACATAATTTATATCCATAGAATGCGAAATCAGTAAAATAGGTTTTTACAAAAGTTACAAACAAATTAATAGCTTGGGATTTGCGCTTTCTTATTATTATATCAATCTTTTGCCCTATGAAGTAAATAAAGTATATTTTTTCTGAAAACTGTGATACAATGTTTTTTTTTCTCACCAGGCGCTGCTTGAGAATGTGGCTAAGTGCCTAGGGGAGTGTGCACATCAGGCTGAGTGTCTGGTAGAGATGGAGAAGTTGGACGCCATCAGACTGCTCTGGTCCCTTCTCAAGAACCCTTCCCCTAAGGTCCAGGCCAATGCGGCTTGGGCACTGGTGCCTTGTATTGAGCACGCTAAGGTAAAGATCTGCACATACTTGTTTTTCTGTTTCTAAATGAAACATGCTTAAGGAAAGATGTATTTGAATGTTACATTTAAAAACCTTCACCCAACTTAGTTGACAGTTTGTTCATGTTACGTATACAATAATAACACACCTGTCTGTGTTATTGTGCGTGTATCTGACAGGTTCTGTATAAACAGGCAATAAGGTTGTGTGAAACTAACAAAATGTTTTCATGTTCTTGTTTTTACTAACCTATTAAGTAGTGGTGAACTACCGGTATGACCCCACTTTAGGCACGTTTTTCCCATGTTATTCTTATGGGGATCATTTTTTAGCCACCAAATCCAAAAATCCTGATCTTCGCCTGTACACCCCAATATAAATGTTCAATACCATTGTATAGCTTCATTACTATTTCAAATCCACATGCATTCACAAGTATATTCTCAAAATCATCAACTTGACAGTGCGAGGTTTGCACGTGCTCCCAGCTCACGGCGTGCTCTCTTGGACATCCTTAGTGGAAATCCATGAATTCTGACTACTTGGGAACCCAAGCCATTTGACATACAATAAATCACCCTTCCTCCTAATTACCTTTTCTATTAAATACATGTCTTTATATTTGGTCTTTAACAACTCCTCTGTATAGAAGCCTCCCCTGATTATATTGCTATTTTCATCTTTCAAGATATAAGTCACAGGCTTTGTATTCTTAACTTCTGCTATTGTAAATAGCTCACCTGTCCAATTTGGGGTATAACCTTTACTAAAAACATGTTTATACTTGGAAATTCTCACGCTATCACCCACCTTATATCTTGGCTTCTTAACTTGCACTACTTTAGAAGTCAACCTCTCATGCACATATTTACTATTCTTAATATTCACTTGGTTAGGCTTCATTCCTATAGATCTATGCACCTTATTATTATATTTTCGAATTAACTTTGGAAGTAAATCCAACCATTTATAACTCCCCTGAGCACTAAATTCCCTATATAACCAATTCTTTAAAGTTCTCTGAAACCTCTCCACAATTGCAGCCTTAGTTGTAGAAAATGTGTGATAGTGATTAATATTTAAGTTTTTCATTAGTTTGCTAAAATATTGATTAAAAAATTATTTTCCATTGTCAGATTGAATGTTTTTAACCCCCTTTGGTAGAATGGTTTTAATAGCTTCTGTAACCACCAACCCTGTCTTATTCTTTAGCGGAGCAGCATAAGCTTTTTTAGAAAATGTATCTATTAAAGTTAAAATATATTTATTGCCAGAATTTTCTCTAGCATAGTTTTGCATATCAATTAAATCTATTTGTAAGGTTTCGTTTATACCTAATACTTTAAAAGATCTTCTAATGAAATTCTTTCTTGCAGGCTTATGAAGTTCGTATGCAATTTCATTCATTTTTTATAACATCACTCTTTCCTTGTACTGTAAATATATTACCATTAGCCCCAATCAATAGATTTTATCTTCCATTCTTTTAAATACATAGTTTTCTGGTATATAAGGTCTATTATCTATATACTTAAATCCACTCAAAGATGTAGGGTCGGCAACTAATAAATCAGGATTGTATTCCATCAAATTAAATTTTCTTCCTGCATATACAAATTTTAATCCATCATAATACATAGCTTGTGACATTAAACAAATATCATCTAAATATTCCCCCTTTGGCAGATTCCTTATAAATTGTTTTTTGGCATCCCAACATTTTTCTTTTTTATCAAAAGTTATAGTCTGTTCTTTTGTAACACAGTCAGTGTCATCAACGGCGGGTTTTACACGTACTAACCTTTTATTATTAAAATCCCAATAGCCTGCTTCCATTTTTGGAACTTGTGAAACATTCACAGCATCTTTACTATCTGTACCTTCCATCAAATTGCTAAGTTTCTGTTTCTTAGCATTCCAAACACCATTCTCAGATTCTAAAAATTCATAATTATTATCGTCTTGTACAAATTTACCATCTTCTTTTCGTATTAAAGTCTGTTGTAAAGTGGGCACATCATTTAAACTTTCACCCTTTTCCACATTAGTAATTTTCCGTTTCTTAGCATTCCAAACACCATTCTCTGATTCTAAAAATTCATAATTATTATTGTCTTGTACAAATGTACCACCGTCTTTACGTATTAAAGTCTGTTGTAAAGTGGGCACATCATCTAAACTTTCACCCTTTTTCACATTAGTAATTTTCTGTTTTTTAGCATTCCAATTTTTATTCTTAGATTCTAAAAACTCATATTTAGTTTTACATTGTAAAAAGACATCACCTTTTCTAGTTAATGTCTGTCCCAAAGTTGATACATCATCTACAATCTCCCCATCTTTAACATTACCAATTTTACGGTTTAAACAATTCCAACTATCGTCTTTTAAATTTAAAGTAGGTTCATGACTAGCCCTGGGTTCTGCAGGCTTACTATATGGATTATATAAACGATAAAATTTATCTATAAACATATTTTTATTTAATAAATAATACCACTTTCTCTCAATTCCTCAATAATGGAATCTATTTCATTATCCACTCCTGAGTTACCGGCTTGGCGACTTAGCCAAAGAAGTCTTAACCTATCTACAAGCTCATTAGGATCATCCCAATAAATATAGTCTATTTTATTACCAGTCACTTGTCTCAAACCTTCACCAACAGATTTAAATAGAGGTTTAATTATATTAAGATATTTAGTATGTCTATTACTTGAAATTGGTGCACCATCTTTGTAACTCTTTAAATGTCCATTTGTAGCTTCCAAAATTTCTTTATAATTTTGCAAATCAGCCGGAGTATAATCCTCAGGTTCTTTTAAAGTTAACAACTGCCACAAGCCTTTTGTCCCCTTGTAAGTTTTATTTGCAATTGTAACATCATCATTGGCAATATCAACTTCCTTATTTCCAATAAAAAATTTATTTGCTTCTCGTCTAATACCATATGTAGTGTCTGTCATACTACTTTTACTGAGGTAATTTCCTAAATAGTCTGATGCTAAAAGACCAAAATCTAATTTCTGTGGGGTGGATTGTTGTAATCTTGGTATCATTGATATTCTAGATGGAGTCATTGGGAGTATCTCCATTCGAGGCCTCTCTGTTTTGGCGATTTTTTTTAATTCTTGTAATGGCTCTATTAAAGGTTGGAATGTTTGGAACCTCTCTTCAGCCTCTAGAAACTTGCCACGTTTTAAAGCTCTATATTTCTCTCGTATTTGATTTGCAGAGTCAACCAATTCTTGTTGAATGTTTTTCATCTTTTATTTAAATTTTATTTATCTCATTTGACAAAGGATTGTACTCAAACACTTTATCATGTATTATCAAACAATATGCAGATGTATTTGCTGGTACATTTTCTGCAGTTTCAATCTCTAATTTAATATCAACAATTCCTTCCTTCACTGTTTCGTTCTGTCTAGAACAATCTATTACAATTAGTGGATATTTCTTCATAAACTCAGCCCTACTAATCATAGGATCTGGGATAGTATTGTAGTAAGTCTCTCTAAACCTCATAAACATCTCATAAGCTTTAGAGACATCTCCATTTTCAAAATCGAGATTTAAATCACTATAAGGATAATATTCAGAGTTTAGAAATACTTTGAGATTTTTTAACTTACAGTGATCAAATTCATCAGTTCTTTTTCGTGCACTATTATCCCTAGCTGTTTGAAAACCAAATATAATATACCTAGGCTTCTCCAAACTTGAAGATGTCTTTACTGACCATGTATGTCTTGTAGTATTGGGATATGATGGAAGTTCATGCAACTCTAAACTTCTAAATGCAATTTGCAAATTTTTATTTTGCAATAACATCTTTTGTAATTGTAACTTCTCCCCATCTGATGGTGTCACATGTGGCATCACCCATTGAATTGAGTTAAGTGTAATTTTGGGAATCATATCAGCAGTGCCACTGGCTGGAGCACTAGCAGTTGTTAATATACAATTCAAATCATTTTTGGATCTTTTCAACACCAATTCTTGTTTGACATTTACTAATACCTTATTAAAATCCTCAAATACACCCATTAACAGCTCTAATGGCAAACATGTACTAAACTTACCACCTTTATGGAACTCTTTTAAATTTGTGTCAGAATCAAATGCCACATTTGACAATTTAGTAGTTTTATTGTAAGAGCTCAATATTTTCATAAGACTAGAAATTCCTGGGTTTCTTACAATGTCTATTTCTTTACCTGCAACTTCGTATCTAATTTCATCAAATAAGAACGCAAATGCATTATTTATAAAATTACCTTTATCATGATTTTCAATTTCTCCCTTAATATACAGATAACTCCTACATGGAAGAGTTAGCAAATCTTGATTATTAATACATATTCGAATTTCATCAGAATTATTTATTGCCAAAGTGTTGTGGGGAACATAGGAGTGATTTGTAATTTTAACTACACTATCGTCGAATTGGGATTTCCCTGTAACATCTAGAAAATCTTCCATTTTTATTAATAGAAAATTTTAACTTTAGTCCTATTGACTTTAGGAACCTAGCATTTTGTACACTTATAGATAGCTGCCCACTCTTATAAATTCTCATATCTTTTTTATATGACAAGTAATTGTAGTATCTTCTCCGTTAAAGTCAATTGCCTTGTCGTGCTGATCGGCAAATGTAATACTGGCAACATCTAAACTTCTCTTATTTACAGGAAAATATATAATATTTCTTGGAACTTCAATAATTTTGTAGCCGGGAGGAGCTTCTGGATAAAAGCTATGTATGGTGTGTGATTTGTTGCCATTTAAATAGGACCCATTTGCAATATTACATTTTACTCTAATCAAATTTACATTATTAATGTTTATTTTATTTGTAGATTCAAACTGAACACCAGGAGTAGAAACACCTTTAAATCCCAATAAAACAGACCCTAAACATGGTTTTGTAAAATCAAACACGTGGCTAGAAAGTAGTGTCGCTTTCATAGTTTTATTATTAGCTGTAAGGAAAAAGTCTGGGATTT